GGGCGTCGGGGTGGGATTCGCGGTAGACAGTGACGATAATCACTGACAGGAGTGTAAAATCAATGGTGGGCGGGGCCGGGCCTCGACACAACACACCGAATCGGCTCGAAAATGGAGGATCCTCGCCACTCACCACTCACACGCCACCGCGGCCCAGCTCCCGGCTCCCGCGGCCGGCTCCGAGCTATTAGACCCTTTCCCGGGTCGGAGGGTGAGCCGCCCCAACCCCCCATCCCCGTTTGTTTATCTCAATTTGTAACCATTATTTCGTCTGTTATTTTTCGGCCCTCCCCGCCCGCTTCAATTTTTAAGTAGATCCTATTTTGTTATGCGGACCTCTAATTTCATCGGCTCGTTATAATAGGCCCCGAATCGAAAGCTCCATCCACCCGGGGACACTTTTCCTTTTTTTTCTTTTTTTCCCGCCCGCTCCGGGGTTTATTTGATGTTCGGCTCGCGCCCCCACCCCCGATTACGGCGGTTTGTTACGCTAAATTTAACAACTGATTTTTGACAACTGTCACTTATTGTCGTCCCCGCGGGTTCCTTCGCTCCGGTTCGCCCTACGAAATTACACCGTCCGTTCCCTTGTTAGCGAGGGGAAAGGGTTCGGTCCGGGATGTCAACGTTTCGTCGTCGGAATTGTGGGGGTAATGCGCGGATTACATGATAAATCGCCCTTGTGTTTGTAAAACGAATGGACAAAAACCAGCTTACAAACAAACCTCATATTTTTATAATGTGCGATCGGACTTGTACAAAAAAGAGCCTTTGTCCTCTGCGTACCAGAAATAGCGCCAGGGAGGGTCAAGAGTTACATGATCATTCTCATAATTGGACGTATTTGTGCAAAAAGGAACTATGTGGAGGGGGAAAGATGGGGTGTGCTCTTGGAAGCTGGATAAGAAACAATGTAAAACTGGATAAAGTTCCTTTTGAGAAAATGGAAAAGCGGGCTTTGTCATTAAATCAAAAGGAACTGAGCGCTAACTCGTGAGCCGTGGGCATGTGACAAGAGCGTCGTGGACAGGGCTCATGAGTTAAAGACTGACGACCCAGTCGTCGTCGCTCGTCGCGCCCGGTCGTCACCGCTGACGTCACTGGCGCTTTTAAAGTCCCATTCATTATTATGGCCCGAGCAATAACGAGTACACCCCATCTTTCCACTGGCATCTAGTTCCATTTCGCATAAATTTGTCCAATTGTACTTTCAGAAAAACCCCGCCCGAGTTGAAAAATTGCTGGGCGTAAACATTAAAAAAATGCATTAAGAAAAAACCCTCAAATTTTGCTATTGTATGACCACATTCGGAAAAAATGACTTATTCAATTCATTGATCACTGGGAAAAACTTCGCTGAAATCAACTGAACTTTGGCTCGTACGGCTCACGTCAAGCCACTGAATTGGAAAAAAGATGATGTACGAATAGGTCAGCACAGATTCTGGCCACGAGATCGAATTTTGATGGTTTAAGCTTAAAAAGTAGCTATAACTAGTAACATAATATTTTCAAACGCCGAGTTCCTACGTCCAGTATTAACAATGATATTACTCCTTGAAAAGCACGGCTTTTGACGTGTGGAGAATTGTATTCGCAATTTGCTTTGAAGTATGTAGGCATTTCAAGAAAAAAATGTTCTTTGCGATCCTCAAAACATGGCGTTTTATCAGGGGAAATTCGGCAATTCCTAATGGCACATACGTCGTTTCTCCCCGGTGCAGCAGGATAATTGCGAGGACCAGACCAGGAGGCTCAGGAATGTCACTCCTCTGACGTTAGGGCGTATCTCGATTTCCCTATGAGCCCCAGAAAGAATGGATTTATACGTAAAACATGGTTCACGTTGGAATTGAGATATGGTCTAACGTCAGAGGAGCAACGGAATGTCC